TCCCCCTTCCGTATAATCCTCCACATCCTCGTCCGCGTCCTCCTCCGTCTCCTCCTCCTTCCTCTTTATCATCATCATCATCCGCATCATCATCACCCCCTCCGCATCATACACCTCATCCTCATGTTGCTCAGCATCACCATCGTCAGCATCATTAGTGCTCTTCTCCGCATCATCACCATCATCATCATCCGTATCATCGCCGTCGTTATCATCATCGTCATCATCGTCATCGTCATCGCTTTCATCCGCATCGTCCTTCTCCCCCCTCATCAGCTTCATCAACATCATCATCACCCTCATCGTCCGCTTTCTCGTCTTCCTCATCGCTCTCCGCATCCTCCTCCTCCTCCTCATCATCATCCTCGCCATTTTTGCTCATCGTCATCCGCATCCTCCGCATGAACCGGCCCGTCCGTCTCATCATCAACCCCGCCCTCCCCCTCATCATCACCTTCATCAGCATCATCAGCAGCAGCATCAGCTTCATCATCGTTCTCCCCATACTGATCCTCACGATCATGCGTATGAGGATGAGGAGAAATGCGATGGGAATGATCATGAGGATGACGGGCCATGGGGGGGGCTTCGGGGGGGCTGACCATATTTATTATTATTATTATTATTGTTATTATTGTTATTATTATATATATGTATATATATATACTGTACACACGTGTGTGTACACATACACGTATATACATATATCGGAGGTGAGGGGGTGAGATCGAAGTGGAACGGAGAGCCCCCCTACCGGGAAATCGATTTCGGTTTCGTGTTCGTGCGTGCCGTGCATGCGGGCGAGGCGAAGCTGCGTGGGCGGGCGAGAGAAACTCTCCTGTGGCTGAGGCGCGGCCGGACCAAATGATTCTCCACCGGGCGGCCGGTGGCGCGCGGTGTCCCGCCGGTGTCCCGCCGGTGTCCCGCGATGATGATGATGATGGTGATGATGATGAGATGATGATGATGATGATGATGATGATGATGATGATGATGATGATGGTGATGCTGATGATGATGCTGCTGGTGCTGATGGTGATGATGATGACGTCGATGATGATGATGATGCTGCAAATGATGATGAGGACGATGATGATGATGATGATGATGATGATATGATGATGATGGGGTCCCGATGATGATGATGATGATGATGTCGATGATGATGATGATGATGACGATGATGATGATGATGATGATGATGCCGATGGTGTCCCGATGAAGAGGATGATGATGATGATCATTATGATTATGTTGATGATCATGATGATGACGATGATGGTGTCCCGACGGTGATGAGTATGATGATGTTTATGTTGATGATGCTGATTATGATTGTATCCCGATGATGATGTTGATGATGATGAGGTTGATGATGATTATGGCGCCCCGATGATGATGATTATTCTGATGGTGATTGTGATGATGTTGATGATGATGGCGTCCCGATGGTGATGATGATGTTGATGCTGATGTTGTGATGGTGCCCCGATGATGACGACGATGCTGATGATGCTGATGATGATGTTGATGATGCTGATGATGATGATGTCGATGACGAGGATGAGATGATGATGATGGTGTTCCGATGATGATGATGCTAACGATGGTGATCATGATGATGTCCCGATGATGATGCTGCTGATGATGATGATGCTGATGACGATGACGGTGTCCCGATGCTGATGATGATGATGTTGATGATGATGATTGTGATGATGGTGATGATGATGATGATGATGATGATGATGATGGTGGTGTCCCGATGATGTTGATGACCGTGCTGATGATGATGTTGTTGATGATGAGGACGGTGTCCCGATTATGATGATGTTGGTGATGATGATTTTGATGTTGATGTTGCTGTTGTTGTTGATGATGATGACGTTGATTGTGAGAGCGGTTGTGATATCGATAGTGAAATCGGTCGTGGGACCGAATGTGATATCGATTGTGTGATCGATTGTGAGATCGATTGTGAGATCGATCGTCAACTCAATTGTGAGATAGATCGAGTGATATCGATTGTGAGATCGATCGAGGGAGATCGATCGAGCGAGACCGATACTGAGATCGATAGTGAGATCGATAGTGAGACCGATCGAGTGAGACGTTGGTTCCTCCCCCCCCGAACCTCCTTATCACCCGAAGGGTGGTCGTATAGGTATGTGTATATATATACACACACACCTAGCACCCCCGCAGATGAGGATCAGAGTGCGGGGCGGTGGGGACGTCGGCCGTCTGCGAGACTCTGGGGGAAAAAACGCCGCAGGCGCTAACGTTTCACAAACTATGCAACGAGCCCGCCGCAGGCGCCGATTATTTCGTTAAACCAATGTGGATCGGTCGCGGGTGGGGCGCGCATGGGTCGCTGTTGGGTCGCGGGTGGGTCGCGGGTGGGTCGTGGGGTGGGTCGCGGGTGGGTCGCGGGTGGGTCGCGGTGGGTCGCGTCGCGGGTGGGTCGCGGGTGGGTCGCGTCGTCGGGGTGGGTCGCGGGTCGCGGGTCGCGCGGTGGGTCGCCGGTGGGTCGCGGATGGGTCGCGGGTGGGTCGCGTGTGGGGTCGTGGGTGGGTCGCGGGGTGGGTTGCGGGGTGGGTCGCGGGGTGGGTCGCGGGGTTGGTCGCGGGGTGGGTCGCGTGTGGGTCGCGGGTGGGTCGCGGGTGGGTCGCGTGTGGGTCGCGAGGTGGGTCGCGGGTCGGTCGCGGGTGGGTCGCGGGTGGGGTCGCGGGTGGGTCGCGGGGTGGGTCGCGAGGTGGGTCGCGGGGTAGGTCGCGGGGAGGGTCGCGAGTGGATGGCGGGTGGGACGGCGACAACAAACAAACAAAAATTAACAACGCAACAACGCAACAGGCAGAATTGTTACCACGGATCCCAATTTCAGCCACGCTGCCAGGGACAATGAATGACCCTTTGGCCCCGTCAATCTGATATATGATCCAGGGTCGAGGGTTCACGGGCCCCCCCCCGCAGATGGTATGGTCCCAGGATTCCTCGGGCCCCCCCCCCAGATGGTATGGTCCCAGAGACGACGACGATGACGACGACGACGACGACGACGACGGCGACGACTACGGCGACGACGGCGACGACGACGACGACCAAAACGACGACGACGACGGCTGCGGCGGCGACGACGCCGGCGGCGGCGGCGACGACGACGATGACGACGATGACGACGGCGACGACGACGATGACGACGACGACGATGACGACGACGACGACGACGAGGACGACGAGGACGACGATGACGACGACGACGACGACGACGACGACCTCTGAACCACCACAGCACCACACCACATCCACAGGGGGGGGGAGGGGGGCACCGCAGCGCAGCACCACGCCACGCCCACTTCTGAACCACCACAGGACCACACCACATCCACAGGGGGGGGGGGCACCGCAGCGCAGCACCACGCCACGCCCACAGGGGGGGGCGGGGGGGACCATCGCGCGGGGGGGGGGGCCCAATGGCATCAGCATTGGGGGGGGGGGGCCCAAGCCCTGGACCGTATATGCCGCGTCACGCTTTTTCTTTCTCCATGCCCTTTTTTTCTCTTGCCTGGCGGGAGATTTTTCACGACTGCGTAGGCAAGATGGCACTTGAGCCAAATTCTTGCGGCGCTCAACTAACATGAACCACTGGAATTCCCCAGCCACATTGCTCACCCAGTCGCATGGCCATATTATAATGTTTCCTCCTCCTCCTCCTCCTTCTCCTCTATGCTCGTCTTCCCCCCCAGGCCAACCCCGTGCCTCTGCCGTTCTCTCGTCCTCCTGGCGTTCGCGCTGCTGGCATGAAGCTCCTCCTCCCCCTCCTTCACGCTCCCTAAAACAAGGCTAGGATCGGGATAAATCGCTCCAGAGCGTTCCGGAGCGCTCTCAGAGCGTTCCGGAACGCTCTGGAGCGGCCGCGGCGCCCAATACATCCTCCAAACCCGCCGATTCTCAGAGATTTCGAGTTATCCCGATCCGATTTTGTCCCGATCTTCGCGTCGTTTCCTTCCCCCCCCACCCAGTCGCATGGCCATATTATAATGTTTCCTCCTCCTCCTCCTCCTTCTCCTCTATGCTCGTCTTCCCCCCCAGGCCAACCCCGTGCCTCTGCCGTTCTCTCGTCCTCCTGGCGTTCGCGCTGCTGGCATGAAGCTCCTCCTCCCCCCTCCTTCACGCTCCCCCCACTCCCTCCTCGCACGCACGCCCTCTCCCTCTCCCTGCATGCTGCATGCTGCGTGCTACTCTACCGAGATTCCTGCGCTCCTCCACGGGCCACACGGGGACCTCCTTGTGAGACCCGCTGGGCTCCTCCTTCTGCTCCTCCTCCTCCTCCTCCTCCTCGTCCTCCTCCTCCTCCTCCTCCTCCGCCTCCTACCTCCTCCTCCTCCTCCGCCTCCTATCTCCCTCCTCCTCCGCCTCCTACCTCCTCCTCCTCCTCCTCCTCCTCCTCCTCCTCCTCGCAAAGTCCTCTTGCGAGCGGGCGGCCAGGGAACTCGGCCACTGCTGCACTCCTTCGAGAACGCGACGAAGACGGCGACGACGACGACCACAACGACCACAACGACCACAACGACGACGGCGACGACGACGACGACGACCACGGCGAAGACGAGGACCACGACGATGACGACGACGACGACGACGACGACACCACCACCACTACGACGACGACGACGACGACCGACAACGATGCCGACGACGATTCACGACGAAGATCGACGACGACGACAGCGAGTATGACGACGACGACGATCGACAACGACGACGACGATCGACGACGACGACGCCGATCGACGAAGACGGCAACGACGACGACCACGACGACGACGACGATCGACTACGACAACGACGATCGACGATCGACGACGACAATCGACGATCGACGACGACGACGACGATCGCGACGATCGACGACAACGACGCCGACGCCGACGACGATCGCGACGATAGACGACGTCGACGATTACGACGACGACGAGCCCGCCCAGGACCGCCGGCAC